AAACTAGATAAACACGGTTCTATCTCACTCGATGCCCTTAATATAAAATGTGAATTGCTGTAATAAAATATTCGGAATATTTACGCACCACTTTTATTTTGTATGTTTTTATAGACTAATGTTTATTTGAATAATTCATTGTAAGTAAAAAAATGGCTTTACATAGGTATTTTTCTCGTAATTATGGTTTTTAAGTAATAATGTAATTCATGAGGCACTGTTTAATTTTTTGTACAAGGTTGTGGTCAAAAAATTATATAATTTATTATTTCTTTTATTTGTGAAAAATTTAATGGAATGAAAAGTAGAATACAGTATAATGTAAGTTAAAAAAAATTAAAATAATAGTAGATTAGGCAAGAATTGTGAAAAGCGACACTTGGAAAAAGTGGAAAAAGTGCATTTCGCATATACTGCCGCACAAAGACAAAATAATGTCCTCGCAATTTTGCCCGAATTGAGGAATTATACCGGTTTTAATCTACAAACAAAGCTCTACAAGTAGGTCTCTAAACCATAACTATATCTCTATTAGTTCTGCAGATAGTCTAGTTGATACATAATGTACCAAATTTTGTTTTAAAAATGACAAAATAACATATTTTGCAAAATTTACTTCTTAAGAAACTGTATTGGGCAGTATTTTGTCATAATTTACAACTTCAAAATAAGGTACGCCTCTGTACATTCTGTACGTCTGGAGGGTGGATTACCCCACGGAACTTAGGCCTCATTAGACTTATTGTGCATCCTCCTGAGATGATAGACACCTCCTTGCTCGTGAGCCAGCCTACAGATTTAATGTAGTTGACAACGTCGTCAAGAGGTGCTTCTCTTATATCGGCCGGTGTTAGCCGATACTCGCCGAACACAAATCTTCTAATAAATGAGAGTGTCAAGCAATCGTAAAGGATATACTCGATGGTCTCATCTTCTTATTAGCACCCTCAGCAGGATGCGGATTCTCATAGCCCCATGATATGAAGATGCTTTCGTACTTGGCAATGACCAGTCAGAATACCTGTGACTAGGCGCAGATTCTGTCTAGTCATAGTATTTGTTTGCTGCAGTGTTGTCAGGATAACTTAAGAGTTCCCTGGAAACTCTGCAATTTCTTGTTTCATCCCATCTTTTATTGAATTTCACAAGGGAATGGTCTTTGACTAGGTCTGTCACTACCGATTTTGTCATGCCAATAGAAGGGCCAGAACCAAAAACTATTTGGTTGGCTGCTTTCTTGGCTAGTGAATCAGCAAGACGGTTATCTTTCGATGTGGCGTGACCTTAATTCCATCTTGAGGTGACCACATTGTTGATGGATATTTCGACCAAAGCTTCGTGACATTCTAGTACTAACCCTATCAATGAGGTCATCATTTTCATTTCAAAAATCTTTATTTACATTATATACAGTCATATTTATAATAACATTTAATACTATTGTATATGCAGCAGAATTTCTTCTTAAAACGTCTCCAGGAAGTATTTCTACTGCTGTGGCCTCAAATGATGTCCTAGTCGTAGCATTGAACATTAAAACGTCTATTTATGATTTATTGTGACCTCTCCTTGTTTATTCAAACATTATAAGTCAATTTCGGCTGCTAGTCAGATCGCTAATTGTAAAGTGGTAAGTTTTTGTTTGATTTTAATTATGTCTATTTGCTTGAAAAAACGAATGAAAAAACAGGGTTGTCCTTGTATGTGTGTGTGTACAGTTATTGTTTCTGTGCGTGAATTAGCCGAAACGCAAGACTACACGAAAGCTCCACTTCCCAGCACTGAAATCAATCAGTAGATCTGCCTGGGGTGTATGCATGTTGGTTTGGGTGTAGTGGTGTTGTAATTACCGCATCCCTTATGTACCTTTCGCATAGCCTTTCCAATGTCTTCATGGAAAATGATGTCAGACTAATGTTTTTGGGACAGTGTAATCCATCCTTCCAGGTTTGGGTATAAACACCACTTTTACCTCTCTCCAGTTTTGGGGGATATACCTCAGAGCCAACGAGGATCCAAATAAACCCACGTCCAACTAGTATGCTGAGGAACTAACAACTTGTTTCCAGTGCCGTGGATTTGCACGGTTTATCTTACATATTAGTTTATTTATGGAATGACCCCTGCAATTAAAATAGGTAAAATACGAAGGATTACACATTATTGAACAGGTAATTTGATGGAGAATTCGGTAATAAGACTATCTTGTCTGTGCCTGCTGAAGCAGAACAGGAAATGTTCTGGAAACTTAAGGTTAAAAACTGTTCAAAGCCCAATTGCTGCTGCATATGTGTTTGGCCACTGTTGCCCTCTCTGGTTGAACTGCTTATATTACTAGTGTCTCTTATTAGAAAAGGTTTGCACCAAAAAAAGGCATTGTTCATTCTCGCTGTTACAGGTATAGAGTTAATCCCCACGAAGAATATCCTAAAGTTATTACGTATAGCTTGCCTGATGTCTTTCTTGTAGGTAGTAGGTGTCTTGATGTCAACTGTACAGATTTTTCGCATTTCGGATCGTGAGTTTGACTGTACCAGCAGAGTATACCATCGAGTTCTACTTGTTTTAATCTGCAATGTTTTGCATGTGACTGTATTTAAATTTTTTTGTGAATTTAGCTATTTGTGTGTTTTATTTTGTTTTTTTACACTGACGTTCTAATCTAATCTTTTATCATATTTTTATATTTTTTCCTGGGCTCGTGTGACTTAGTCTCCGACAACATTGAATCCTAATTGCCTATTTTATTTAATAATATGGGTCAGATTTTTAGTGTGTGAATCATCCCCAGTCTTTTTATTTGAAGAATCGCCTTGTATATAAGAGACTTTTTTTCAGTGTGATTTATATGACAAAACTCGACGAAATGTGAGGCGCTATCTCCGAGCCGACCCCAACGAACATTTTTTCATTTTGCAAATCACTTTTTACAGCCACATGTAAACCAGGAAACAAATTGCCTCAAATATCAGTATCAGTGTGTCAGTATGTGAATACCGACACGATACGTTTTTAGTTATATCATAAATTCTGAGTAGCGTGGCACATTTTATGCAAATTTCACCTTATATCAATTCAACTATGCATTCGTGACCTACGCACGCGTTTACGTACCTAAATGTATATACCCGTATGTTGCGAGATATGTATTTGGGGCCCTATTTAACTCTTTCGTTTGTTATTGCTTTTCATTGTGCTAATGGAATATCTGTGGGCAGCATTTAAAAAGTAGAATACTAATTATTTATTTGTTAAATATATTTTTACAGTATAAAATAAATTAAATCAAAGTCAAATTTAAGTGCCATCCTCTGTAAAGGCTGCGGCACGTGTTCATAAAACATGTTTTTCTAAAATAATTTAAAAAAAATTCAGATCATACATTGAATATTTAAATTTTTCGAAATCGTTCTGCTCATAAAAATAGTCAAAGAGAGAAATGATGAAAATTATTTTAACGTTAACATTAACTCCAAAAACATGGATTACATATAAGCAATTTTGCAGATTATGGTGGTGAACACTTTGATGTTACCGATTAGTTTCGGCTTTATAGCTATCATTGGGTCTGTAATATACTGCTATTTGAGATTTGACAACCTACCTGTCACCTGTCAATGTCAATGACTGCAATTTTACATCAAGTGAAGTTTAATACGCAATTAGCCATTTCAACAACCTGTTAAAACAATAGCCGTCCGTGGGAAGGTATATCTAAAGGAGTTGCGACATAGTAGCAGTTTGGACGCTATTTTTTGTCAAAATATTAGTGGCCAAGTCTGTTAATTTTTAAAAAATGTATAACCGGAAAGTGCGTCATAGGAATCCACTAAAATTAACCATATATACAGGATTTTTCAAACAGCACCTGAACACTGAGGAAGCGGAGGAATACAGTAGGCCCAAACTTAACATTATCACCGACTAAGCTCTGAGGTCAGGTAAAAATATCTAAGAGTTGAATACAGTGTGGACTTACAATATTTTCTATATTTTAAAAACATAATAAGAAATGAAAGAGGCGATAAAAAATTAAAAATTATTGGTAAGATTATCATAAAATGAGTTATATTCACAGTCTAAACTTTGCTTAAGTGTTTGAAGTTGGTCCCATTTATCTGTTTTTATAGGTAGAGGTTTTTAATAAAGTTACGGTAAGGAGTGATAGGGATTAATTGCAACTTTGGTCTACTTCCTTTTTTCAAATAAGGTATAATCGTCTGTATGTCTAATTTTATAATAAATGTTTCCATCGGGACAATACTTTAGACATCTTATGTCTGTAACAATCGGTTCTTCAACCTTGCTCACAGGTCTTATAGATGTTATGAACTTAAGAGAACTAAAATCTTTAAAAAAGTCATAATTTATGTACTTGACAATAAAATATCTGGGATTTTCTTTGGCACGTGTACAAATTTTTACATAATTAGCTGGAAGATGTATATCTGTTTTTCTCACTTTCCTTTCAATAAGAGAGTGCATCGAGTTGGCCTCCATTTGGGTATGTCCTTTCTCCAAATACTTTTGCTCGATATTGATATTAGGATTGATTGAAAAATTATTCAACGCATTGGAAAGTGCCATCACTGTACAGGATAGTTCCTTGATTATTTTCCAGTTCGCTCACTACATACTATAGATGCATAATTGTTGGCACAAACACCCCCAGCAACTTCTTGCCATAGAAAGCAGTAACCTTTTTTAGTCTTCATGTCATACACGGTAAAGTTATGAGTAATATGTTTAATTTTAAAATCTAAAGCCGATATATTAGATGTAGGGCTTGAAAAATACAGCTTGCACATCCATGCAAAAAACTCTATTGTTAGAGTTTTTATCTTTCTCCTTAGCTTCTCGTGACTTAGTTTTTTAAATTGGTCTAAAACATAATCTTCTTCTGATACATTTTTTGTACGATATCCCCACAAATGTCACACTCATTTTTTTTGTGTTTAAACAAGCTCAAATTTATTAAAAATATGATAAAATAACGTATCCTACACAGGAGTGTAACTTTTTTTATGACACCAGCTCTTATAAAACTTATAAAAGCCGGATTTCGATTCAAAAACAGGATCTAAATAAAATTTAGACGACCTAGTACGGCAATAGTCAGACTCGATTTTAGGGAAGTCTCTAAAAAATTCTATCAACATTTCTTTCCTATCCTTGACACCTTTAGTATGGTTATTCACGATTAAGCCTAGTTGTTTGCTATTATCAACTTTATTTTTAGAATCGTTTTTCCAGTAAATAACAGATCCTTCGTTTATTCCCAATGTGTTCAAAAACATGATTTTACAGACTCTTTGGTGTTTGTAAAAAGTAAAGCCAAGTAAAGTCTCTTCTTGATTTTCCTCGTCTTTTGTGTTTCTTTGTCTTTTAGTTTCTTCTTTTTGTACTAACATGTCTACTATATTCCCATGACATGCTTGACCAAAAAGTTTAAAATATTTTTGTTTTTTCATTGAGTTGTCTACGTTGCAATTTTTTGTTTTTGAATGATTTTTTGCAGTAATAAGCTTCTTTTATTGATCTCTTTCAAATTCCATTGCGCTTTCATCTACCATAATAGTTTTCTCCCATTTCTCGTTTTCGTTTGTTTAAGTTTTTTCCCCACACGTTTTCTTTTACATTATGTCTTTTATTTCTTCTCGGTCTAATATTTTCGGGTTGTTCTTTAATATCTACTTCAGTCAAACTTTCTTCAGAGTCACTACTAGAATTTTCCTTTTCATAATTATGGTCATCTTTATGTATTTTCTGCATCTTTATTATTTAGGTTGTCTTCGTATCCTACTTGCTCTTTTTCATTTTCAGTTCCACCAACATTTTCGTCGTTTGTTAGAAAATTTTCGTCAAATATTTTTAATAGCTTGTCTACGTTCGATTCGTTTTCATTTACGTCATGATTGGAATACACTCTTCTATATCGAAATTAGTATAAATACATTATTTATTTTTTTTAAGTCTTGTTCCTTCATCTACATTGTCTTCACTAGTCTTTTCTTTAGTATCACATAAAATTACACCGTTAGATCATATACTCGAATTTTGTATATATACAGCATTATTAAAAAAAATGTTACAGTCTAATAGGTCTTCACATTCAAGAATTAAAGAATCTTAAAGTCTCTGATCAGGAATATTATTTTTAGAAAGCGTCTTGGGGGAAACGTTGGAAATTTCCTCCTAGTGCAATGTGTTTGTGTTTTTAGGTTCTAAATTATCAAACATTCTTTTAAATCGACCACTATAAGAAGCCATTAGCAAAAGTGTTGAATTCCAGAAAAAAAAAATAAAACTTATTAGAAAAAAGTCTAAAATATTATTCGATTAAACGAAAACGAAAAAGTCAATAAATAATGTTCATTATGAAATTACTAGGCTTACATTAGCTTTTAAAATAAGCAGCTATTACAAAAGGTTAAATAATATTTACCACAATAGATAGTAACAACTTCTCTGCTTTAAAACACCTTTTTTTTCAGAAATAATTGTCAAATTCGCCGGAACGAATATTTTACACGTCTGTACACAAAATAGGACCCTTCAGTTCTACCTACTGGTTCATAGACTTGTAGCTATGGAACCTGAGTAAGAGATGGTACTAAAACCCGTTTTTTCTATAAAAATGGACTTACGACGTTTGCTAATTAGGATAACGATATTATGTGCAATTATACCGCACAAAATCATAAAATGTTCTAAGTCTTTTATATACAATTATATTGCTCATAAACAAACGAATACCTCATCAGAAAAGTAGTTAAAATTCGACTGCATTTGCCATTATACCTTACAGTCATAAAATTAATTTAAAAAAGAAGTGCAATTTATAGCTCACAAAATCATATAAGGAATTTAATCTATTTTGTACAAAGTCATATAGTCTTTTATATGTTACTATGAAGATAACTCATTTAAATGTCCGGTCCATCAATACTGGCTTTAATTAATTTTCTTATATGATTTGGTATATATTACTAAAAGTTGGTTGTCTGCTAATGTCAAATCAGAACATTATGCTATCCCGGGATATTCTTTGTACAGGAAAGACAGAGATGGACGTACTGGTGGAGGCATTGCGATTTATTATAAGCCTTATTTATTATCAAATGTCGAATAATTTGTGTAAGCATCTTTGGGTGAAATTTAAAATTAATCATAAAAACACAATAATAGGTATTTTCTACAGATCTTCAAAAAATAATTCTCTCAAAGAGTTTCTTAAGGACATGGACACGATACTATTGGACTTGGTTCCTTCCAGAGTTATTAATGAACCAACTAGCTTTACTTGATCCAATATTCTGTATAACAATAGATCTTATACAAAGTTCGGGGAATGTCAATTCTGATTTTATTTCTGATCAGAGCCTTGCATGTCTACTCAAGGCCAATTTGAAGACGAAGAAGCAAAATATTGTTACATTTAGGAATTACTCAAAATTTAACAATAACTTGCTGCAAACGGACTTACAGAATTTATCTTGGTAACAAGTGCTTGCTGAAGGTAATATCCATAAGAAAGTAGAAAGTTTAATAATGATAGAGATCACTATAAACAAAGGCTTATATTAATGATTTCTATATTACTAATGAAGATAAAAGTGTATGGCAAATGACATTACCAAAGGTGTAAATTCCAGAAAATTTGTTAGATCCAAATGAATCGAATAACTACTTCTCATCTATCTGAACTCAAAATTCTAATGCACAATGTGAGGAGTATATTAATCATTATAAAAACCAAAAGTTTTAAATATTTAAATTCAAAATGGCTACTTGTGAACAAGTTCATAAAATATTATTTGACATAATATCTTAAGAGTACGGTGTCGATGAAATGTCTATTAATGCCAAGGCATTGCAGTTCTTTTATTAATATATTCATTTTACATCTAATTATTTATAGTATTGAAAAGAGCATATCCCCAGATTTGTGGAAAATATTTATTGGAAAGTCTCTTTCTAAAACTAAAAATCCCTGTAGCTAAGAATAATAAATATTTTGCCATGTATCTCAAAAATCCTTGAAAAATGTAAAAAATTACACAGTGTGGTTTTCGAAAGGTACTTAGATTTTTCAAAAGCATTTGATACAATTAATCACAAATTGTTATTTGTTAAACTAAAGTATTATGGGTTTGATTTTGAGTCATTGAAATTTGTTAAATCGTAATTTACAAATAGAAAACAAAAATTGTTTCAAAAGTTTTGGAATCTCATTACATTTAAATCACAGGAGGGGTACCCCAGGGAAGCATTCTTGGTCCCCTTTTTTTCATAATTTATACGTCAGACATTTTAAAATCCTTAAGAAATTGTAATGTTTTTGCATATGATAATTATATGAGAAATCCCTTCCGCATACACCAACCCGTCCTTCATTGCAATATAGGTGATGTATTTTAGGCGATTCATTTCTAGTAATTTTCCCATCATTTATAACGCAATCTAGAAAGTAGAAACCATAATTAGTGTGCAGTAGGTACAAGGGATGCGAGGACCGGCTATTTTTGGTTTGGGGCTCCTGATTTAGTCAATCGTTTCAAGCCACTGGCGTAACTGCATGGTGATCTATGCGGAAGCGGTTCCTCATATAAACACGATCGAATTTCCTTACAGGTAACTCATTTAATATATTATTAAACACAAATACAATGCCATTATGTTTAAGCTAGAAGTAGGATACAGAAATAGAGAAGCCACATTTATTAAAGTGGTCATCGAAAAATGGATATCAACCATTAATATTCTTGTGTTTATAGAATCAAAAAATTATTGTTATAGCAATTTTGCTTAAAAAATTATTATTTGATTTATAATTCTTATTATCGTCTTTTTTTTCATCGTTTTGTAACCGTACTAAGTGATAAATTATCGTTATTAATCATGAACTAAATAAAGAGCACTCTATATGTAGGTATTAGAGTATTTTTAGCAGACAACGCCAATTAAAAAGTTTTAAATAGATGCACCATTTTTATTACTTTATGCAAGTGTAACTCACGCATGAAAACTGTGGCAATAAAGCTGGTATAGTAGGTGTAGAACGTGTAAACGTGGATAGCTTGACAACATCGTAAATAATGTTGTTTTTGACACTTTTTATATACCTTAACACATGTAAATATATGCTAATGGAAACAAGGTTTTTTTTTACCGAAGACACCGTTCTAAATGCATATGATACATGTTCATCAATTATATAATTTGACATTTTATCACATTTTTCGTGCTAGAGAAAAATGTACCTACACAATAAAACTAAAATGGTAATTAACTATATTAAAAATGTACCTACCTTTTTTGCATTTTTTACGGCTACACGTGTAATAAATTTTTTTGTATAGTTAAAGGGTTATAAAATTGGTACTAGGAACATGTTTCATTTAGGTTTGTTTCATTTAGTTCTTCGCGTTGTAAAATATATACCAGCATTCGTGTTAGAGAAACATATTTAAAAACATTTTAATAAAATCTAATTACGAGAGGACATTTTTATGTAATCTACCGAGTCATGCGAAAGACCAATTGAATTAACAATGTCTTACTGACAAGTAATGGTGTCATTTTTATATAGGTCTGTTTTGAAGTTTTTTTTTCCGAAGAATTCTTACAAGTATTTTTAGAACAAAAAAAATGTATTTGACTTTTCAGACCAACCTAATTGAGAGGGTGTGTTTTCTTTAGTTTAATATTTATGAATTTTGTTATGCAAATGAAATCTGACGTTAATTATATTTTATTAAATAATAATAATAATATATGGCAACATATTTTGTAAAATTCCTTCAGTCCCCACACCAAATCCCTGGTATCTTACTAGGGGTAAGACGTTTCTGTTACCCCAAGATGAAAGCAACACACAAGACCCCTCTAAATACACCGTCCAATCACTTGCCTTTGTACTCTGTATAAATTAATGACGGCGTGTATTGTTGATAAAATATACCCAGCAACTGTTGACCACAGAGCAAAAAGGGTGTATCAAAAACTCTCAGGGATATAAAGAACAACTCATCATTGATGCAGTGGTAATGGAGCAAGCCTATCATAAGCAGAGAAACATATTTACAGCTTTCATTGACTATCAAAAGGCCTTTGATGGTGTGCCTTATTCATGGCTTATCAGTGTTAGAAATGTACAAGTAACACCAATCATAATTGAAGTACTAAAACATATGATGTCATCGTGGGAGCCACTCTGTATCTTTTTTACAGCGAGGGTACTATATAGTCTCAGATTATCCCAATCAAAAGAGGAATTTTCCAAGGAGATAGCCTTAGTCCATTGTGGTTTTGTTAAGCACTAAATCCATTGTCAACTCTTCTCAATAGCACTGGGTATGGTTTTCTAATTAAAGGAAAAAATGCAATATAGTATAGACTTAGCCACCTA